TTGTCATTGCACTCAAATCCGATGATAGCTTAATTAAATTTATTTTATCAACATAAACACTTCAAAGTTCTGGAATTTTCCACAGAAATACTCGTACAAGTGTTTAGAATATCACTAAGTATATTCAGTAGTTATGCTTCAATCTAATAAGAATGTTAAACACAACGGAATGCAAAACGCATCTTAAGAGAAAGTTAACTCAGAAATATCTCCAATCTCGTGCTGAACTAACAACTGGCAACAATAACAAATTATATAGCATAAATAATGTCATAAAAATAGTGTGGTATAATGAGATTATTACTTTGAAACTGATGTTTCGAATTGATGCCCAAGAAGAACCAATATTTCCCATTCTGCTTCATTGCATATCTTTTAAAAAAGTAAAAAAATCATCCAATTATTCCAATTTTTTTAAATGCGAAAAGTTTGTTTTATAAGCTGTGAAAATGTCCGAAGTTTGTAACCGATATATTTTTAGATATGAAATTTTAAAATTAATGAGCATAAAAAAATCTAAAAAATATGAACGATTTTCAAAAATTCTCCCAAAATATTTTTTAAAAAATTATGCTAAAAATTTCCTTTTTTTTTTTCTCCACAGCATGTTATGGTGCAAACTATAATATTCTGAGATTCTCAGTTTATTTGTTAATATTTGCAGAAAGTCGTTTCAACTTTAAATTTGATAAAACCCTAATCCTCTAAAAATCAAAAGCGTGGCACCACACCCACAAGCAGTGTATGTACAAAGTTTGAGTTCTATATCTTATTGGGAAGCAGTTTAAAAATCCATGACCATCTTTTAACCATAGCGACAAGCACCAAGAGTGAACTAAATAACAGCTTATAAAATAATAATAATAATTAAAAAGCATATATTTTTCAGGAACCATTACGAAATTTCAGGTACCAGTTGCGAAAGTACAGATTACAAAATTAACAACAGTAAACAGTGTTGAAAATGTGTAAACAGTATTAGAAATCTGCCAATTTGGAGACGTGATTGTTCACAGAGGCTTAGGTGTAAAGGAGAAGGAAGACGGTGGTCTTCTGAATGAGTCCTAAAGGCAAAACTCTTTCATGTCTCCTTTTTCTCCCCTTGCTAACGGAAGCTGTGCGAAGGAGCATTGCATGTGAACAGGGCTTTAGTGCATCGTCAAGAGAGCATGTTGAGCTCCGGGAACGAATGAACCGAAGAGTCGGGAGCTGTGCTCTGTGCGTCGTCGAGTGCATCGCGAGTTGTAGTATCTTGAGAGTATGTGGAGTTCCGAGAACGACCAAGCAGAGTCGGGAGCTGTACTCTGGTGCTTTGCAGTAAAGCTGTCTCTACCGTGATGGCCTGATAACCTGAAGGCTGTGTTGCTGATTGTGTCAGAGTGTTTATAACAGTTCGACAACTGTAAACGAGATTTTGGAGCTGTCCTGATTAATATCGGCCAATAAAGCGTGTTTCAATACTTCATCATCAAGTGTCGTCATTATTCATTCTAAATCCACACGGACCCCGTACGAACTGGTGTCAAAGAAAATAACGTAACAACTGGTGTCAGAAGAGTGAAACACAACAATATGCTCAATATAAAATTATTTTGCGATATTGCTCTTGAACTAAATTTTATGGTTTAAGTGCAAAGAACATGATCTTTAATAAATAAAGGTAACACACACACAAAAAAAAGGGAGAGGGTAGGGCCCTTTGAACGTAATTTAAAATCTGAAACCTCTTTTTTTTTTTTTAAAATGGCTCACTTTGAGTGTGAATTAACATTTTGGAGTAATATTCTTGGTGATGTGCTGACAAATATGTATTTGATTGGTTAACGTTTGAATTCTTTACTACTAAATATAAATGGTGGATACTTGAGTTTTAGTTGTGAGGCGCTGCCTTAATTGAAACATTTCAAAATTATTTCTTTTTAGCAAATGTAGAGTTCGTAAAATATTACATAAAGAAAAGCTTTCTATTGCCGATTTATCAACATTTTTTCAATTTCAAATTCAGCTTGTATACTAATTGTTTTAGGATATTTAAGAATTTTTGGATTTTTTAATATAAACATTGATAAATACCAAAGAAATAATGATAATATTTTTAAATTATGTTCGAGAAATAACTTTAAAATAAAACATTTTCATTTTCTCCTGTAAATAACATAGTTAAGCAATAATTTTAAAATAAAACATTTTCATTTTCTCCTGCCTTATTTTAAGTGACATTACTTTTCATTTTTGCAACTTCAGAATATTTTGATTTTTAGAAATAAATAAAATAATAAATGCTATAAATATAAAACACAGTTTAGGAAACACTTTTGAGAATAAAACAAAAAAATTCTACTGTAATTATTTAAAAATTAATTTCATTTGTCTTTTATTTTTTTCTCATGTAATTGCATCAAAATATTTAAATGCATAAGTTTTCTCTTGCAAATTCACTTCACTTTTCTTTTCTGAAGTCCCTCCTCAAAAAAAATCTACCTTTTTACTTCTACAGAGTTGGTAGGTATTTTAGACCTAGCACCTCAGAGGGTTTAGAATGATTTAAAGGCAAGGTTTATAGACCTACAATTCCAGAAGAACGTGATGAAATTTAAAATGTCTACCTGGTATTAACATGTTATTTAGGTGTTTCATAGGAAATTTGTGATGCTTTTCATTGGAAGAATAGTAAAAACAAAAAATTTTTAATTTTCTCTTTTTTGATCATAGAAGTCTTACTCTCAGGATGTTTATCTTCCCTTTATTTTGTTATCTTTCCACTAGGCACAATCATCGAAGCAAGCAAATAAATTAGAAAACTAACAATTTATTAAAAATTTCATCTTATATGTCAAATCAAACATTGTAATGAGAATTTAGGTTCGTTCAGAACATAAAACTGATTTCTAACTGTTGTTTTTTCTGTTAATGTATAGAAGTGCAAATTTTATGTTTCAGTGCCTTACAATGATTGAACTGTAATGATGAGACACATTGGAAGCAAAATATTGCAATATAAAATTTTAAATTAACCAAAAAGCACAAACTTGTTTGGTGTAGTTTCTGAATATCAGTTGATTTCAAAGACGATCATAGATTGTTCTTGTTTCTTCAGGAGCAAAAACTTTGTTTTTTTATTTATTCCCCCTTCCTCCCCCTTTTTATTATTATTATTATTATTAATATTTGTTCTGAAGGAAAGGGACTTGTTTCTCTTCACCTTCGAAAGTTAGTTTTGAATTTTATATTAGTGCATTTCTCTTTCAGTTTGATAAGTCATATTTTTATAAGGAATTTGCCATTGCACTTATTTCTTCTGTGAAAATAAATGTTAAAACATATTTCTGATAGTAATCCAAATAAATTTTGACATTCTCTTCTACTTTAAGTTTTCTGTTTTAAGAGAACCCAGTAATAGCCATAAAACCTTTAGAAATATAACCTTTTTTTTTTTTTTTTTTTTTTTTTTTTTTTGTCCTTGTTTTCTCTGAACCAACATATTAAGTCTCTTTCTCCTCTTTTTAGGTAGTAAATCGGTCTTTTTCTATTGTAGTCAGATAAGTATATTCATCAGCTATAACTATATATTTCCATTTTTCACTTGCCAAAAAATTCTCATACAGCAGTCTGCAAATAGTCTTATGCTGAGAAATATGTTTCAGCATTAGGTGATGAACATCATGTTTTTTGTTGCTGTTTTGATTAGCTTTTAATCAGATTTTATAATTTTGTTCACAGTTCTTATAGAGATATTTAAAGATTTTGCAGTATCTCTTTGTGAGGCTGGATTTGCCTTTAAAACATGAGATGTGACTTAAGATTTAATAAGAGCTGTACGTACCTTTGTTGGGTATGCATTTTTTGCCTTTTTTTCTAGTCTTAAATAATTGAATAAGAGTATAAACAGTATAAAAATATAGCCTTCGATCCATTGTTTATTTTTTAGCGACATTTTAAAGAAAAGAATGTTTTTAATACTGCAGACGATAATTAAACCTTATTCTAATTTGATGCTAGTCATGTTTATGTTTTAAAATTAATACATGTAGAAAATCAAAATCATTACAAAAATGTGTAAACACCCTCTGTATGTTTTAAAACTGTGTTCTCTCACTCGTAAGTATTGTATTGATATTTTCTCTCTTGTGACAAAAAGAATTGAAAAAATGTTCTGAAAATCCTATTTTGCTCCCAGATTTTAGTGTGATATAGAAAACAAACATGCATTGCTTCTTTCCTTTTTTAAATATTATGTTGTATAATGACTCACCTTAATGTGTTAAAATATAATATTTTTCCACTGAAAATGTCCTTTCTGACATCTCTAAAGAAGTGACATATGCCAATATCTTCCTGCTTGAGATGGCTATAATAATGTAAATGAATGCAAGTTATCCTGTGCAAGAAAAATGCACTTAATCACCCTGCTACAGATAATTATCTACAGACTCAATTGCATAAAATTAAGATTTAGATAATTAAATTTGATCTATACCTGCCCCTTCAGAATGCCTGTTATATCCTACATCATTATAAAAATTAAAATGAATATTTTTTTAAAATATATATATTTATGCAAAAATCTCATTATACTTGTAATTGGAGACTCAGCTAGAAAGCATTTCAAAATTGGCATTTTATTGTTTTAATGAAACAATTTTTTTAAGATTTAAGTAATCATTAATTTTCTAATTTGTAATCAATTATCACAAAGCACTCTAGATCTATAGTTTTGGAAGGATATCTTCATGAAAGATTTCCAAAGGAAAATTACCTCATTGCATAGGAAAACCATGAAAATACCCATGTAGGCTTTATCTTCCTCTAAGAATTCAATTATACATGAAACTACTCCAATTGTTTTATCTTGTTGGTTAATATTTTATGTTTTTTATTAATTATGCACACTACACTTAAAGGCTTATTATTTAATATGCATATCAGGGATTGCAAATTATATAATAAATGATTTCTGTTATTTTTTATTCTTCTCAAGTTTCTTCAACATACTTTTTTTTTCCAGGCACTTCCAAGAATTTGGAAAAGATGTCGGCATCTTAAATGCATAGTATCCCTTTTTATTTACTTACTAATAAGTTTGATTGTTTTTCTATATTTGAAATCGCAAATTTTTCCTGATCCTGTGTTTTGTCCTGTGCAGAACTATAGTAACAAAACTGATATTGAACTGATTTCTGAAATTAAAGCTTTCTTGACAACATTTTTGAAAGATACACGCTCAGATGAAGAGGATTTTATGAAAAAGAAAAAATGGCAAGAAGTAGCAAAAGAGATCTTTGTCTATTCTGCATTTATTGAAAAATGTCCCTCAGATTTACCATTACCTGCTTCATATTGTGTAAAATATATTGGAATTACTTTATCTAATAGAAGTAATACAGATTCTTCTGCATCCAATTTAAAATGTGGTTTTAAAACTGAATCTCGTATTGTAAAGACTGGATTTGCTGTTTCTGAGAAATTACCAGAGGATCATTTTAAACCATGCTCTGCTGCCTTTTTTTATTGTTCTCTTAAAGAAATACATGATGTTTTCTCATGGCCTGAATATGCTACTCTATTTGAATCGTCAATTTTAGCATGGATTCCAGTAGAACATATAAGAAACTTAACTGTTAACTTAGCTTTAAATGTATGTGTAAGACCAATTTATGACAGCTACTCTATTTTGCACTTGATTGAATTTTTAGCATACCATTCTACTATGGGTATTGATCATTTTATACTATACCACCATAACACAACCCATTCAATGCAGATGCTTTTCAAATTTTTAATGGTTTTTAATATGAGTATTGAGATTTTGCCATGGGACATACCTCTTAATAATGATTTAATTCATGAATATGGCCAAATTGTTTTTACCCAGGACTGTATATCTCGTAGCAAACATAAATTCAGCCATGCCCTTATAGTTGATTTAGATGAATATATCGTACCAAAAATCCATCCAAATATAAAACATTTATTAGAATACTTAGATAATCAGCATCAAAATGCTGGAAGCTATACTATTCCTATGGTATTATTTTGTCAGGAATTTCAATTTGAAAAGTCATTATCATCACCTTTTCACATTTTATATCATAATAAGAGACAGAAAACTCCATGGAAACATTGGTACAGGTCTAAGTATGTTGCAAAACCTGATAGAGTGCGTTATGGGGGTATTCATTTTGTATGGAAACATTCTGATGATTGGCAAGAAATTCCAGTCACTGATTCACTGGTTATGCTTCATCATTACAGACATTGTTGTGGAATGTTACAAACCTGGTTTCTTCATTTATTTAAATTTTATGTTTTAAGTGATAATGTAGTGATTGATAATAGTTTGATAATCCATAAACCTGAAATTCTAAATCACAGGCTGTTAAATTTTTTTAAATATCCATTAATGTCCTGAATTTGTTATGTCTGTATATATGTCTGTCTTAGCAGTACCACTGTTGTTTTCTTGTTTTGATGCTATTCTTATTAAGCAAATTAAAACTAGCTGTGAAAATTTGATTTTATTCAATTGAAAGCTACACATTTGGTTTGGTACTAATAATAAACTACACTTTCATGCAAGATTTCAAATATTATACAGGAAATTCTCTTCAGAAAGAACACTTTCATTTATATCATATGCAGCAGGAACCAGTGTATAAAACTCAAGAACTTTTGAGGTTGAAACACTAAAAAATATCGGGTTTTAACAAATGTTTCCCACCACCACAAATATCGTTTGCAAAGGCCATTCACGTTGGCATGTTTAAACATATTTTGTCAAATGATTTTTGGTATATGAAAGAAAGAGACTTGCTTTAGAATACCGTGTTGTGAAATTTGTAAAAAAATATCATTATTATTAAACACAAAGTGTCTGAAATGGGACTATCACACTACCAGATTAGAACCATCATTTACTTCCAGTTCTGTTGCAGAACTTGAGCTGCAACAGAACAAGAACTTGCTTGCAGTCGAGAGCTTGCTAAGGAGTTAGATGTTAGTGTCATGACTGTTAGTCACGCTATGCATTGCATTAACTTGATGTACAAGTTGAATCACTGGGTGCAGCATGAGCTGACTCAAGCAGATAAGGACAAACATGTTCGGGCTGTTCAAATATCGACTCAAGGACAAAATTCTGGACCTGATTGTCACTTTTAATGAAAACTGGATTTACTTCTACAACACAGGCTAAAAAAAAGGATGTTGGTCTGCACCCGGTTAGCCCACCGGCAGCGTCGCAAAGCACAGTTTAACTAACAAGGAGTTCATGCTTTGTGTCTGGCTGGTATTATCCACAAAGAGTACCTGGCAAAAGGTAAAACCCTCAACAGTAAGGTGTACAATGAGATGCTAGTCTGTGTTGATGCTGCTATCAAGGAAAAACATCAAACTGAGTTCTGGCACAAAAAGGTGATGTTCCATCGAGATAAAGCAAGACCATGTGTGTCTGCATTCACTGGCTGGACCTCTGTATGGGACTCCAATGGGATTTTTTACCACATCCACCATATAGCCCGACATTGCTCCTTTAGACTTCTATCTTTTTTCACACTTGCAGCTACATATTGTTGGTGCTGTCTTCCATTCTGCACAGGACATTCATAATGAGATTGATCTGTTTTTGGACTCGCTGCCACCAAGTTTCTGGGCTGAAATCTTTGAAAACTACCAAAACTTTGGCAGAAAATCATAGATTTGGGTGGTGATTACTATGTGCACTTAAAGATACTGCTTTCGTGTTTTTTTATCTTTATTAAAAACTTTTTTTGGCACAAAACTTTCATTATAACCAGATACTTAGGAAAAATTCATAAGCAAATTATACACCTTAGTTTCCATTAAAAATTTTATCTTAGAAAATTTTTCCTCGAATTCTGAGTAATAGCTGTCCTTGAGCTCCTATCACTTATTTTTGTTATATATATGGTATCCCACTAAAAGTGCCAAATATAATATGTCCAAAAGAATATGCTTAGGAAACAGAAAATATTTTGCATAATAACAACAGGTAAATGTTCCAGTTTAAAAATGTCATGTTTGATCTGACCTAGTAACTGTGGCATATTGTTCCTGTCAGTTCATTTCACAGTTTCATTTTTAACTTAGTTAACAGGGAACTCCACACAAAGCAACAGTGAGTTTTGATTGTGAAAATTCATTGCAAGAACTGCGAGCATTATGCACAGACTGTTAGAAAGTATCGTGCAGGCTTTGGACATGAACGTGCACCTTATAAAACAATAGTTCAAGATTGATAAAGAAATTTGAGGACACAGGTTTGACAGCCGACATAAATCGCTACACTCTCAATCTAGCCAGTCTCTTGAAAACATTGCTGTTTTGCATGGTAATGTTATTGCAAGTCCCAGAGAATCTAAACTTAAAAGAAATAACAAAAAATAATAATAATAAATAAAAATAAAGAAGAAATTTATTGTGTCATTAGCCATCAGGATAGGCAGATATGTGAAAATGTGATTACAAATTTCATTGAGAGAGCGTGGTGCTGCAGAGCAAGCATTAGAGGACATATGCCATACATTATTTTTCATTCTTAAATTGGAACATTTACTTACAGTACATACGTTAAACAATTTTCCATTTTCTTAATATAAAGTATATCGTTGGGCATATTAAATCTGGTCCTTTTGTTGGAACACCCTACATATTGGAAACTTCAAATTGAAGTTCAATCTAGAATTCTAACCTGTTAGTACAAATTGAAGTCTCATCTAGAGACTTTACTGTATTCTTAAGTATGAAATGTTTAGTCTGAATGAAGGATTTATTTACGGAAATCTAACAGTGTACATGAATTCTATTGAAAGTAGTGTGAAGCAATAATCAGACATTTATATACAGAACAAATATTTAGAATGTACGTAATTTTATAAAATTATCTGCTTTCTGAGGGCCGCAATGGCAGTTTCTCAAAACAAAAAATTTCTTCTTGTGACCATAATAAGGAGCTAACTTACCTTATATTTAAAAACAAGTATCTTTTGTATCTGTGTTATAACATTTGGTTTCTTAGTTCCAGTGTGCTTAAAGCTCTTCCAACACTTACAAGAAAGTCACTGACACAACACATTGGCTTGTGCTAATTTAAGTTTCTACTTAGTTCTTTTTATATCATATCAGATTTCCATCTTATTATTTATAGCATAAATTGTTTGACAGAAAAATGTGCATATTCTTAACAGGCATGCAATTATACAAAATAACTAATAGTTTAAAGTTTTACCACTTAGCTGCAACTTATCTACTTAATAGTCTTCTGCATTGCTGCACTGAGAAAGAAGATGCATTCAGCAATCATCTAAAGTGAATTTGAGGTAAAAAAAAAATTCAGTTGAAGATTATTTTATGAGGAGATAAAACTGGTACTCTTGTGAATGGCACTTCCTTTGGCACAAATAAATGGTAAATACCTCTGTAATATTTCAGTTGTGATTGCTTTTGTTTTTTTATTTCAAAACCTCTAAAATTATCTGCCTGTAGTTGTGTTTGTGGAGAGAATGGTGGCTTTATCCCTTTTAATTTTTATTTTTCTCATATATGAATATTCGTTTTTAAAAAGGAAAATAAAATTTTCAGAGAGAGTGCTTTAATTTTGGTTTAAATCCAAGTGTGTGTTCTGTTAGAAGTAACTTTTCTTTTAAACACAGGTGTGTAAGCTAAATTTTGGCCAATTTCTACAGAAGATTACTGAATACCTTTTCCTCAATTTTAATTGTTATTTTATTTTAAGTAACATGGATAACATAAAATTTTGGTGTACATTCATGTTTATCCTTTGCTAAAAATAGCGATTCTAGTGTTTAATGCATGTGTGTAGTATTATTTTTCTCATAGGTCTATATATCACAGGCTGCTCTTATTTTATATCATGGTTTAAAGCTCAGGCTTTTAGAAATATTTTGCAAGTATTATGTACTTCTGAAAGTATACTTTCATCATCAAACATGGGATATTTTATTTTATTATCAAACTGGTAAATGAAGAAATGTTATTTCGAAAAGTTTGCTAAAATTCAGTGTGCAGTTCTTAGTAATATTCATATCTGTGTTTACTTCTTAAATGTACTTATTTAATCTGTCTGTTTGTAACATGAAGGATTTATGTATAGATGCATAGAGCAATTTGTTATTACATATTTAATTATTAAGTTTTAATTTATGTGTTTAAATTTTTGCGAAGTTATTCTTTCAAATGTATTTTCTGTTGTGCATGTGCATAAATGGCATCAGCCAGCTTATTTTCAAATTTTGTATTCTAAGCTAGCGTTTATATAATTTTGATGGCTGCAAATTCTAGAGTAGTTTTAGGGTATAAAAAATGTTATAAGTCTGCAAAAGATCTTGATTGTTTTGTTCATCAATGTTAATTTTTATATGCACTCAAATCTAGATTCAATAATTACTCAGGAGACAGCCTTATTTTTTTTTTTTTTTAATCTGGAGGAACTAATACTGGCTTATAAGCATATATTGAAGTGAAAAAAATTTAGATACTCATCTCAATGTGAATATGTCACTAAGGTGAAATAATCAATAATATTGATATACAAAGTCCAGTTTTAAAAGTTTTAAAAATTGATTCATTAGTGTTTTTTGAAAAAAGAAATCTTAATTAAAGAAATCTGGTTAAAATATACTGTTTCAAAATTTTGCGCTCGGTATTCTTCTGTTATATTTCAGGGAAACATTAAATGCTTCATCTTCTAATTAACAATTAGGTATAAATGTTGCTCCCATCTTTAAGCCAGAAGAAACACCCACAAATGAGAATATTGTATTGAGTCATGCATAATATGAAAATTGGCTGCTCTACAAAATAACAATTTACATTTTCAACAGCTCTTAATAATTGTTGACAATTTGCATTCAGTTTCATATTGTATTGAAAATCCAACTTTTTAAAATCTATTCTTTATAGTGTTTGTGGTCACTTCATTTCCTGAATGTAGGGTAAAACTCATCAAATGAAGAATTTTGAGTTTATATGTCCGAGTTTGTTATTTCTTTTCCAAATTTTTCCAATATTTATCTAAGCAATAATTTCTTTGAATTATTCCGATGTGCGAGATGCAAATGTACAACAATGAAAATGAAATTTGAAAATCATACTGACAGTATCTTCTTGAAATGTTAAAGATCTTTCTTAGAGAATTGTTGACTAATGAGTTTTGTGCCAAAATATGCAAAATCATGCTTCCTAAGCTCATCTTACTCTCTTGACCTGATCCTCATGCATTTTTTTCCTGTTTCCAAAATTGAGATATGCTTCAAAAGAAGAAAGCTACTTCACTGTCAACAATATCGAAAATTCGCAGATAGAGCCCCACCAGTAGTTGAGTGACAATAACTACTAAATACTGGTGCTGTGGTTTCACTCGGGCAAATGGACTGACTATATATAATAGTTTTTAGAGGTTCTTCCCATGTGTAACATGAGTACAGGTTAGTTTCACATAGAAAATCCACTGATGATTTCAACATTTTAATTGAATTACATTATCATGTTTTGATTCAAAAATTGGAAATTTGGCATCGGGAGTGCTGTATCATTGAAGATAAAGATAGACCTTGAATATAAAAGTCTTAAATAAGTTGGAAATGAGCGAAATTATAAAATTAAAAATATGAAACCGTAATTTATGAAATAAAAAGCAATTATGATCTACAGGGTATCAAAATTTACAAAAAAGAAAAAAAACTTAATATTTATTTCTTTACTTTATTAAACGTTTCTTTCAATGTAAGTTGTTTAAGTTGCTTCGTTTTATGTGCTAATACTTTCTCTTTAATTCTATAAACAGACATAATTTCTTGTTCAGTTACAAAGTCCGTTGCTCAAGTCCTGTAATTGCTGTGCCGAGAATACCAAATAACTTTAACTTGTCAATCAAATTTTTTTCATTTTCACTTAACCTCTCTGTCACTTTCTTCATGCCTTTATCCATTTTTTGCAGCAATTCAACTTTTTGTTTGATGGACATCGAAACATGCTTTCTCTTTGTAGATCCTTTGGCAGCTCCAGAATTGGAAACTCCTTTTGACATAATCGAAAGTTCAAGCTTACTTTTTATAAAATTGCTCTAACGGTCTGCAAAAAATAAAAAGCCGGATCCAATTAGAAGATTAAGGAACAATGCAATCTGCAGCATTAACTAAAATAGATAATTAGATAATTTTAGCCTAGTGTATACCGTTCATTATACATTAAACGTGCATGCATGCGTAAATGTATTATGCACATTCATAACAAATATGCGCATGCGCAGGAAGTTTGTAGCTTTGAGGTCCGGATTAAAGACTTTGTACTGTACTATCCTTAGTTTGAGAATAGTGTAATGGAGCTCTTCCATTTATTGCTGTGACATCCAAATAGCTGGAACTCGTACAGCATGCATAAGAATATCAGATTTGTCGAACGAGATATCCAACATTGTACCAAATCTGAAATTAATTATATTCAGTGAGAAACAACATGTCTTCCTGTCTTTCAGAATCTTAATCAATCTATGCTTTGATGCATTTCTGAGACACTAACTCGGCAAAGAGAGATACATATTTCAGGTCTTGTATGATCCTAGTGCTTTGATATTTTTTTAAACCTGAAACATAAGGAAATCCTATTATGATGGCATATTTTGATTATCTAGATTAGCATAAGCATATAATTTAAACACAATGCTTAAAAATAATTTTTGTGTTTTGCTAAGAACTGGAATAAATTTGTTCAGTCTTTAAATTGGAAAAATATATGTCACACAATTTGTAAGATAAACTGCTAGTCCATATATTTGTACATTAAAAAGTTTATTTGCAGTTTTCCTAAAGCAATGAATTACTAACACTAGATTGCCCAAGGAAGTCATTTTGGCTGCTGCTTTTTAATTTCAATTAGAAAAACAATTAAGTATATAATGACACAATCTCTTAGAATTTTGTGACTGACATATAAATGCGTTTATTAGTAATGGTACTTAACCCCCTTCTTTCATTTCCGGTATATATATGTTTTATACCTATATTGGCCCAAAGCAGTCATTTTTACTGCTTGAAATTTTAAATAATCAAATGATTCTTATTATTGAATTGAGTAAATTTCTTATATGACCAGTTCAGCTCTGTATTGAAATAACAGTTTCCATTTTTTTCAGTTACCATCACATGATAACATACAAGTACATGATAAATTGTCGATTTGGGTGTATACGTGATAAGTTGCAGTTTCTCAATAAGCTAAAGTAGTACATGTGATTCGAATCTCAGTGAACACATTGTTCTGAAACTTGTCAAACCATATACAAGCTGAGGAAGAAATATCATGACTGATAACTTTTCCACTAGCATGTCACTCGCAACAAAATTTACTATTAGAGTAAATAGTAACTCGCAACAAAATTTACTATTACAAAAAAAAAAACAACTCTAATTTTTACTATTAGAGGAAACAAAAGAGAACTACCCAAGTCAGCCAAACAAACGAAGAGTAACATGCCTCGTTTTTTCACTCTGATATATATAAATCAGAGAATTGTGTTCTTACAATATATAAAAGCAAACCAAATAAAAGTGTAGCCGTTCTTAGCATAAATTTGTGAAAATTGATAAAAGTAGTAAAAAAAGTTACCAGAATCTATGTAATTTTATAACAGCACAAAATTTGGAGTTGATATGACAGATCAAATGGCTAGAAAATATACAGTAAAAGCTAGTTCTCGTAGATGGCCCCTCCAAATATTTTTCTATATTTTAGGTTTGGCTGCTGTAAATGCTTGGATCATTTACAAAGAAATGACAGAAATACAAATACAACGAAAAGAGTTCTTGTTTCAATAGCAGAACAGCTTTCCACCGAATACAGAGCTGCAAGACAGAAAAAGTCATCAGAACATAAAAAAGACCCACAGAGATCAACTGCAACATCATCAAATGCAACCCATGCTAACAAACGCAAAATTTGTCAAGTACGACTTTGCCACAACAACAAAACAAATAATATATGTGAAAAATGTCAAAAGTACGTTTGCGGAAGATATACACGTAAAAAGATTTCCACTTTCAATTGCAAAAAATGTACAAATAATAATACATAAATTATTTTTTTTCCAAGTGAAGTAATTTTTTTATTGTTAATATTTACTAATAACTGTAAATAATATAAAAAATATTAAAAATTAACTTTAAACAAATTTCTTTACACATTAGTTATTCTTTCAGAATGCAGTTATTTTGACTGCTTTTTTTGGGCAATATAGGTATATACTAAGTTTCAGTCTTCCTAGTGTTAAATCATACTGCTGCCCAGATGGTAAAGTGGTCAGAGGAGCTGAGTGCGGCACCAAAAATGGTCTTGGTTTGAATGCCAGAGAAGGCATGGTTGTAACTGTGCATCCCATCATAAGAGGCAATGGTGGCCACCTATTGGGTGCCTCCACAATAAAATGGCCACCACTTCTGGCCTTAGAAGTGGTCATTGTCGAATAGACAAGTGTCCGCCATTATACTAAAAAAAAATTAAATCATACTTCTGAAGAATGTGCAGCCTTATGTAAATTATGATGGATTTCTGAAAAATATGTTGCTACAATATACATTGCTATGATTAAGAGTGATTAAAATTAATATTTTGAAACAAAAGGCTTTATAATGAATATCCAGTATTAATTCCAAGCAATATTACTTCATTTCAGTATTTAGTATGCCCTATAGTTTTTTATAATTCACAGATTCTTTTGGGCATTCCATCTATAAAGACTTTGCAGTGCTGCTGTACATCTTTGTCATATATTCATATTATCCATATTCTGTGGGCTCTTTGAATTAATTAAGCCATGTGTGTTAATTGTTCATGGATTTTATTATTGAAAGTGTTCCATATTCCTTCAACAGATCTTATATCAGGCAATTTGCAGGCCACTTAGAGCCTTTGGAAATGAAATAATTTTTTGGTATCCTGATTGTACTGAAAAGAGGCATTATCTTCTGAAAAAATTGCCACCCTTTGAGGAAACCATTCATTAACTGTAGAAAGAAATGCGTTTCCAAGATCTCCTTGAATTTTTGTGAATTTACACTCCCTTTAATTATTTATTGTGTCTATATAAGTAGTTCTAAATCATGAATAATAGAAGGTACTCCACCTTAGTTCAAATGCAGCCAACTTTGCTTCTTTTTATACTCTACAAACATGTATCTTTAAGTATTAGGTTTAATTTTTCATTTAGAAAAACAATCTTCTAGGGGGAAAATATTAAGAAAAATAAAAGAAATGTACCTCATTTAGGAAGCAAGAGAGTAAGAGGTTTCAAAAGATTAAAAAATGAATAAACTTCGTGTGAATGAGAAAAAAAAATTAAATCTTCAATGAATAAATACTATGCTTGAATTTTGAAAAGGCCATGTGATGTAAGTTTGGGTCCAAGAAAATCATTTCGATTAATATCTTGATGTGTCCTTTCCATTCCTTATTTAAATCTTTCTATATACCCATTTAATCTATTAAATTAATTTAGTAAAATAATGCAAAAATAAGTAATCTAAAGATTAAAATAAATATAAAAAACTTAAAGGAAAAACAGTAGATTGAAATGAATGAATAAAATCAATTTAATCTGAATATTAAATTTATTATACTAGTGAAGTAAAAACATATATAAGTAACTATTCAAATAAGATCAATCTTTTTAAAAGAAAGAAAAATGCATAGAATTTATGTACATTGAAGAGATTAAAAACATGTTGCCACTTCTGTTTTTGAAATGAGGTATCATAAATTTAATTTAAAAACATTGCTTCTGAAACAAGTGCTGCGGGAAAAACTTGTTACATAATAATATAATAATAAGTAGTGTTATTTAAATAATCACTTGTAGCTTTCTGTACACATTTTAAATACAAACTGGTTGCTTTTTGTGATGTGTATATGGTAGCTATATTTAAAGAACCATTCCCTGTTAAGGTTATCTGGTTTATAATAATTTAGCATTAGTAATATAACCATTAAGCTGTGATGATGACTGTTTATATAATTCATATTGTGTTTATTAATATATTAAAATGCTCCTGTTTCATGTATAAAATCAAATGCATATTGTTGTTAAATATAAAGATGATCTGTACGTGAAGTATTAAAAGATTAGTGTACGTACAACTGGTAGTACTAAAGTAGCTAGTATTGTTATTAATGCTGTTAATCTTTTTTCATGGGGAAGGGGGCTTGTCAAAAGCAGTTAGCATGTAGGATTTAAATATTATAATGCACCCAAATTTAGCCTTTGTTTTTATTTATGTCTGTCTAACAATAATTTTTGCTCACAGTTGTTGTTGTTGTTGTATATTAATTGATCTTTGAAAATTTGCATTCACTTAAAATAGGTGCACTGCGGGGGGGGGGAGTTTTATCCTCCCATTCTACTGAGCCGATTGACGAAATTCAACTTGCATTTTTTATGTTTCAAAAACGCGACTTAGGACATGTATTAGATTTATATTTAACAAATATTCTCTCATTCGTATAAAGCTGATTTAAAGCTAATTTAAATTTTAAATTATGAAAATTTAATTGTATACAAATAAAAGATTAATTATTGCTGCGAACTAATTTGCAATATCATTTAAATTCAGAGAGCGTATGTAAATTATGTGTAAGTATCTAA